GAGCTGTTGTCACCCGAATGATCGGAGGGTCTTCCCTCCAAGTCTTCAGCTACTACATTTCCCCTCATTATCTCATTACGCATTGATGACAATATTTCTATGCTACATAGTATCCGGCAGTTGCCTTTGGAGTACCGTAGAATAATAAAAGCGTAATGCAATCGATAATACCCGCTGCAGCTTCTGATTCTCCCTGAATTATTTCAGACTCATTGCGTGATTATTATTTCATAATTTTCGGAGGAATTGTACAAAAATTCTGGGAATAGTGTAACGACTGTTCATGAATTTATTGGAGGGCAAATATTTTATTGAAGCGATCTTGCGCGTTAAATCTGGAGATAGAAATTCGAGTTCAGTCTTGTGTCAGACATGGAGGCGGGAATTCTGGAATTTATGAAAGGTAATGGGTGGGTTTTTCATGGGGCAATAATTTTTTTATATTTGTATATGATTTTTAGATTGTATTGGGATCGATCGGTTATCAATAGGAGAACAATCGATGAAACCCACGCGAAGGTCAGTTCAAATAAAATCTGAATATGAATTTCTTCCAGACTCTCCTGTTAATGTATTACTATCATCTATATTTACTGATAATGCATTACAAAATCACAATACAGCAGAAGGAATTTTAATAAATTCGGTGTACAGTGTTAAGTAAATGGTCGACTAATTAATTTATTCAGCAGATTTTTGCAGAACCGCCATTGCCGAGTAAGATTTTGTTAGAACCTGTGGACGAAGTACATATAAATAAAAAATGACTAGAAGTAATTGATTAATTGAAGTTCACGTGTGTAAATTGGTATTGATTAATCAGTTGAATTATTTTTACTCACATTTTTCAATGTAACGCAGGACAACTCGAAGAGGCCGATGGCACTGATGGACATGGGCTTTTTCGACATTGATAGGAATATTGACATTTTTTTTTTGAATGCTGCATCTTCCCTGTACCATTGGCAATTGTATGCCGCAAATGTCGTGAGATCGCTCGCCACAATTATAGAATTACCCGCAAGACAATATACTCCCAGTTGAATAAGAGAGCTGAAGAGAGTTAATACGACAACTCCTGCTGATGATGGATCTCCTAGGTTCACGGTTTTCGTCTGGGTAATTTTATATAAATTCAAATTTTCGTCAATGAAAAAATTGGACAATAATTATAATCATAATTACAATTGTTCTAATTACCTGGACATTTTTTTCTTAATAATACAAGTTTTAATTTGTAGAAAATATGAATGAAAAAAATAATAATGATTAATATTATTGTTATTACTATGGTTTTTATTATTGTTAGTGAAATTGCATAATTGAAATGAAATAGAGTAATTGAGAGTGAATTTGGTGTTCAGGGAAATTAATGTGAATTTTCGTTTTTGGGATTTCTGAGGAATATACTCACCACAAACACGTGAATTCCGACAAAAGTTATTAATGATGTACTTGAAATCAATTGCGGCAGAAGAATAAGCCCATAAATTTTTCTCAGTACACGCATCATTCTGTAATAGATGCTTGGTGATTGCATGTGACTTGATTCGTCGAAACACTAAATTACCCAAAAATCTTTTGATAATGTTGAATACAAATAATGAGTTGATGATTAGGACTAGAATACGGAGCCGAGTAATCCCGGCCCTTGGTGCCGATGGAATTCGTATCAAATTCATCGCCGATCTGATAATCATTATCAACAGCAGTGCACATTTTCAAACGGAAGTTGAGAATTTCGAATTGCGCTGCAATATGCAGCATGAGAGCAAGGAATACGCAGTCATTCAATATAACCGACCAAACGAACATGACAAATGTCACGTAATCAATGACAAAGACCACCAAAAAATTAAATGGCGCCAACAAAAAACCAAAAATCGTGTAGCTGCCAACAAAAATTATTTAAAAAATCACTCAACCCCATTAGAAAATGAAAATAAATCCTACCTTATTGACAGGTGATCGACTGTTCTGTGACTTCCGTCTAGGAACTCGCGATAAAAAAGTGGCAAATCAAAACCCACAAGCCACAGCCAAATGACTGTTAAATCTTTCGTAAATTTGATAACTTTCCTTAGTAATTCATTCCTGTAGAGAGCTATCATTAAATTATTATGGCGGTGTGTCGATTAATTCTGTAACTCACCGACTTTTTTTGAACAGATTAGAGATCTCTCCCAAGTGAGTGATCTAGTCAGGAATAAAACGTCTGAATGATGCCACAGGATGTTGATATGCTTGAGAACTCCAACACTGAATGTTGATATCAGCACAAGCATTAGTGTCTGCTGGAGAAAATCTTGCTGAAGTTCTCGAACTGCTACGAAGTATCCATGTATTCGGGATGACATCATAAATAGCATGACAAAGGTGTAAACATGGTACACCCATCCTCGACGGTGATTCCAAGGATTCCAATTACCTGAATAAATTCAAGATTATCTGGGGTTCATTTGATGAACACAGATTAACGCAATCGATGCTCTTCAATTATTTCTAGAAATTCACTATTTCAAATAGTCACCTAAATATGTGAGACATTTCAGATTGAATGCGATGTAAGATTTTCCTGGAGGCAGCACTTTGTCGGTCATATTACGATTTTTATGCTAGAGCTGTTGTCACCCAAATGATCGGAGGGTCTTCCCTCCAAGTCTTCAGCTACTACATTTCCCCTCATTATCTCATTACGCATTGATGACAATATCTCTATGCAATATATTATCCGGCAGTTGCCTTTGGAGTCCCGTAGAATAATAAAAACGTAATTCAATCGATAATACCCGCTGCAGCTTCTGATTCTCCCTGAATTATTTCAGACTCATTACGTGATTATTATTTCATAATTTTCCGAGGAATTGCACAAAAATTCTGGGAATAGTGTAACGACTGTTCATGAATTTATTAGAGAACAAATGTTTTATTGATGCGATCTTGCTCGTTAAATCTGGAGATAGAAATTGGAGTCCAGTCTTGTGTCAGATATGGAGAGAATTTAAACTCCGGTATCTATTTAAAATAATTGCTTCCATTCTAGTTGACATCAGTATAATTGCATTGTTATTTATTATTGTCAGATTATTATTATGTTATTAGTGCGTATTTTTTATATATAGATCAGGAATTCACCGGATGTCCATATAATTCATATCAATTTAGTCGCTCTATTTTTTTGACATCCCCTTGTTTTCTTCTAATTACAGAACTACCCCTCGGTGCTACCCCCATACCTGGGTAACAGCTTGGAGTTGCTCTGCGCAGAGTTGTAATCGCGCAAGCTCCGCGCAGCATCACCCGGTTGATCCTTTCTGGAAGTCTCAGTGCCACTGCTCCAGTTGACGTGACACAGTCCAGTGATACCAGATAAAAAATCACCAGGAATGAAATGCCAAATCAAATGGATTAATTAATCGTCATGAGAATGCACAACTGAATCGACCAACTGATTTATTTTTTTTTTATCAATCGATCACTGACGATCACCAGATCCGGGGATGGCAGACCATGACAACATGTACGACGATGAGGTGAGCTCTAGAATAATTTATTTTTTTATCAACACCATTAATTTCTTGGAAAAATAATTGAGACAAAATGGGATTTTTAATGTGAAGTGGTTGAATTTTAATTGATAATTTCGAATTTCAAGTTTTTGTATTAATTAATTAAATGGGGAGGTCGATTAATTAGGAATTTGTGAGACGTCGAGTGTTGGAATGGGGAGGGGAATTGTGGAATTTATGAAAGGTCATTTGCGGATTTTTCATGAGGCAATGATTTTTTAAATATTTGTTTATGATTTTTAGATTGTATTGGGATCGATTGATTGGGATCGGTTATCAATGGGAGATCAATCGATGAGGCCCGCGCGAGGGCCAGTGCAAATAAAAATGTTTTTATGTGCGGTGGACGCGAAAAATAGAGGGGGGAAAATAGCTCTCCTCTTGCCCTCCCCTTCATTTCTATCGATTCATGCCGAGCACCAGCTGACTATGCCACGGGCTCTCGTGCAATGTCTGTAAAGAGCACAAATTTTCCGCCATGCATTATGAATTTTCCCAGTCTCTCCGGTTAATCATTCAGAGGGAAACTGAGATATCGCCCTTTGTTATTTCAAGTCTTTGCGGGAGTCGGGGGGTGATAAAAGCTTGAGATGTGTTATCAATGCTAACAAATCGACGAGGGAGTCCTGTAGGTACAGGCAATAAATTACAGACCTTGAATTCGATAAAAGGAAATATCACGTGAGAATTGTTACCATTTTTTATTTTTAGGGTGGCCTCATCTGGGAGGAGGGGATTGAAAAAGATTTCGTTGGAAAGCCACGGAAATTTCATCCGGAATTAAAAAAAAAACGACTTTTTTCTGACCTGTAGTTTCTGAGATATCGACAAATGTATTGCCGTGGGTAAAGTGCAGATTTACCCACGGCCTTCCATTTTTCGGAAAAATTCCACTTTACGTCTCAAAACCGCACCAATTGTGTGTTGGAAAAATTCCTCCAGTCGTCAGGGGTGATTTTTTATTTTTCTGCACGTCGCGCAATAAATGCAATTTTCCGCACGGCGCAGTCAAAAAAATTATCCCTCATATCTCGGAGTCTACCGAACGAAAAAACATCTTTTTTTTTTAATTCGGTCTGAAATTTCCCTGGCTTTCCGATGGCACCACTCTCGACCCCTTCCCGGAATAAATTCAATTAAATCGCAAAAAGGAAAAGCCACAAAATAATAGATGAGGGAATTGCGTTGACGAGAAGCTGTCAGCGGATAAAATAAGCATCCAGGGATCAAACGAGTCGCTGCAGGAGGTCGTGCTATTTCAATCACGTGTTTATTATTATCATCCGACGTGTCTGATACGGTGCGACCTTTGAAGAACCGTTTTATCACAGCCCCCGGGAACCAATTGTTTTTTTTTTGTCATCACCTGGATATTCGCGCATGTCGTGTAATCAATGGCCGATACTTTATCGGTCGGAGGGCCGGATTATCCTCTTTCTGCTGGTTCGCAATTAGTAGGAATTTAATTCCGGAACATCCGGTGAATTCCGCTGTGCAATTACTCCGTGAGAATTAATTATTTCCATCGCCAACCGATTGAAATTGCCGGAGCTCGTTTTATCACCTCACAACTAGATTATTGTCTACATCGAAGAGATTTCTCATGTAATGGATCTCACATGATGTTTATTTACTCTTACCAAGCAGTTTTAGATCAGAGCTTCTGAGGCACCCAGATCTAATCTAGTCGTTAAACTAAAAGGAGAAAATCCACTGCTCGTCGGACTGATAGAGTACACAATACCGGTTTAATTGATTCGTTCCAATTGCCAGCACCTGTAGATTCCCCGGGCAATATTTGAATCACTCGGTATTTCGAATGTTCAAACTCAATTTGTCCTGACATCTCCCCCTAAACTCCCAATTACCGAGATAATCAAATGCTTCAGGAAATAAATCGCTCATCATGGCGTCACTCACCCCCGAGAGATACTCATCCCCCATTTTTTTTTTTTTTACTTCAATACCGCCTAGACTTTTCCAGGCTACTTACCAAAATAGAGGGGCGAAGTTTATTGATTTTTAACTCAAGGCCAAAACCCCTTGAGGATGATGTATTTTTTACCGATAATTATTATCCCCAGGAGTTGGTGTCGACAAATCCGAATCAAAGAAACTGGCGGGGCATTCTCATAGCTCTCCTCGTTATTATCGCAGTTCTAGCACTTATTGTTACTTCAGTGGCCCTGTTGACCCCTCCTGACGAAGGCCCTCGAGTCCGAGGCACTCGTTTGAGGCTCACCGATGTGAGTACATGCCAATTGTCAATTAAAATCCAAGTGTAAATTCAAATCCTAACATTGGAGAGGATAGATAATAGATACGAGCTAAAAATCGAGATAAAAAAATCGGACGTATCCACCAAGCGTGAACACCGCCATCTTGTCGTTACGTATCGCAAGATGGCGAGGGCTCGCTGCCACCTCGCATTTTCCAAGTGCCATCAAAATTATTTATCCTCTCCAAATCAACTTCAATTACTCTCATTCCATTTCCGTGGAGTGAACAAATGTTTTACGCCATTTTACGAATATTCACGTTCTCTTCTCCCTGAGATATGGAGTGAAAATTGTTTCTAGATCTAAAACTCATTTATACCCCGGGGTAAATGAGCGCTTGGGAGAGCCCAGAGTATTTTCATTGCTTATTATTTAATCGTCTAGGTGTTGTCCGGGGAATTATCACCACCTCCATTCAACGGGACTTGGGTAAGTGGTCGGCACATATGCTACCGTGATCCCTGGGGTGGAATATCCCTTCTAGACGCATCAGATCCGAACGTCACGTCCCGTAGTCTCATGTCCAACGAGACCTTTGTGAGTATTACCCTTATCAATTTCTACCCAAGAGCCCTCAGGGGAAGAATTCAAATGTCTCTTTTCAGCGCACCCTAAATCCTGCCTCGTTCACACTCTCGCCGGACCATCAGTACCTCCTTCTAGCCCAGAACGTTAAAAAATTATTCAAGTACTCGTTTCTCGCTCAGTACGTCATCTACAATGTCAACACCAGGTGAATAATTGAATATTAATGATTAATTGTTACTTTTTGATAATTATCAGAGATAATTCATTGGAATTACTGTTGATAACAGTGAGACCATAAAAATTGCACCGAATCCAGGGAAATCTCTCCACCCCTATCTCCTCCACGTGCAATGGAGCCCTCGAGGGCATGCCCTCATGATGGTCGACGACTACGACATCTACTTCCACTCAAGACCATCTTCGTCGAGAGCATTTCGTATAACCGATAATGCTGTACCTGGTGTTCACTCCAACGGCTTTCCTGACTGGCTCTACGAAGGTTACGATTATTTCAATTTGAATTAATCAATCTCAATTCAATTGCTGCTTCGATGATTTCCAGTTGATGATTTATTCCAGAGGAAATTTTACGCAGCTCCCAGGCCATCTGGATGTCCGAGGACGGTTACTTGATACTTTACGCATCATTTAATGACTCGCTCGTCGAGCAAATGCACATGTCGTGGTTTGGGGAGGAGAGCAAATCCCTGTACCCGGAGGTCTGGTCCCTCCGTTACCCCAAACCAGGGACTGCCAATCCTATTGTTAAACTTATGATAGCGGACCTCACGGATCTCATGAATATCAAAACGAAAGCCGTCAGACCACCGCCTGTAATCGAAAATACGTAAGAGATTTAATTTCCATTTTCATCGAATGAATATTTAATCTTAATTGAATTATTGGTTTGATTGAAGAGAGCACTATTTTACGACCGCCTCCTGGATATCGTTGACGGAAGTCTCCATCACTTGGCTGACACGCTCCCAGAATCTTTCCGTGATAACTGTATGCAAAAGTCCTCTCTGGCACTGTCAAGAGATTCAACGAGTGAGCGAGTCTCACGGTTGGGTTGACACACCACCGGAATCTCCTTTATTCTCATCAAACAGCAGCAGTTACATTACGATAGCTCCAGTGCGCGATGGACCCGCTGGATTCTTCAAACACATCGTCTGGGTGAATGTATTGAAGAAACAGGTGGTGCCACTCACCCACGGCCGCTGGGAAGTCGCAAAAATACTCGCCTGGGATCAGACTAACAACACCATGTGAGTCGATTAATTTTTGACCAAATGATTTTTCATAATAACCAATTTATCTCGAAAGCTCTCAATCTCTCATAAAAACGGTAGGGAACTTTTTCATAGCCGATAAAATTTCACATTAAGAAGGGCTTTTGATGATTGGTCCTAAAATCAATAATTTCCGAGATAAATCGGTATCTAACGGGTCGTAAAATTCGATTGAATCGCTTAAACGTCAGAAACGGAAATTTCGAATGATGAGTCGATAAAAAAAGGATAAATTCCTGGGAATCCCGCAGTTACTTCATCGGTATTCCCCCCTCGAAACCGGGCCAGCGTCACCTGTACCGGGTGAGCTCAATTCTTCCAGAAGTTGGTTCAGCCCTGCATCCAGCGTTCTGCATCACATGTGCAGCTCCAGTGAGTCCTGATAATGAGACAGACCCTGAGCCCGAGGAAAATAGTCAGTCACCCGTGCACTCGACCCTGAAGGAAACAGGGGACTGGCATTCCCAACTGGAGGCCCAGGAGGATGCAGTCCAGGAGGAAGAGCCACCCCAATCCACCCTGGAGCGCAGAAAACCAGATAAATCGAGGAAAGAGTCACGTAAGTCAATTAATATTGACTCATTACTGCCCCCCTACACCTTCTTGATATATTCGCCTGTCACCTATCCTCATATCTATATTTACCACACACTTACACACGTACACCAGTGATAACGTCAAGGTCACATACATCACTCGATGACAATCAATTGTTCTAGTCGATGACAATCAATTATATTTATTTCGAAGACCTGGGATTTTTTGGCGATCATCACGAAGTATCGCAATTTGTGTTTAAATTTAATAAATACTGAATAGGCCTTTTGTTGTTTATTGTTTAAACAATTGATGAATTTTTTTTGGAAGGATATCCATGTGCGAGTTTGAATCTGATAAAAATCAGAGAATATTGAAAATTGATTTGCTGAGTTTCCGGGGAATACCTCGGGATTGAAGAGAGATAGCGAGATTATGATAATGACCTTTTTTGTAGGGCTGGATTAGCCCGAGAGAAAGTGTTCTAATAAAATTTACGATATCGGCCCTGAATTCCGAGATATTCAGTGGAGAGTCAGAAGTGAAAATTGAGTCGAATGGTGAATTATGGAAGACGTTTAATGAGAGTTGTCTGATCCACTTGGACATCCCCAGAAAAAAAAATAATTGAAAAAAAAAAACCAGAACACGTCCTTATTATTGCTAAGATTTCTCGGCAGCTGGCATTGTTGGAACTCCGGGTGTGCATTAATGAGTGCTGATGAACAATGGAACTGTGGAAACCGGCAATTCATTCAGGTAGAGACGGTATAATAAAATAAAACACCAAAGCTTTACTGTTAGTCCAGAGAAAAGCTCCGGGAGATAATTCAATCGAAAAATTGAAACGGTCATTGTACCAGTGTATGTGTGTAGGTGGGTGTGACTGCTAATTGTCATAATTAACGCTTTCGATGTAGATGAATTAATATAATTAGCCATCAGTGAGACAACCCCACGAGACCACAGACATAAATTTTTATTTACTTCATCCCCAAGTGCATGCGTTCAGCATTTTTCATTCTTCTCTCCATCTACACCATTTTCACGATAAATTTTCCCATGTGAAATATAAATTATTTATCAGAGTCAATCTGTTGCGTGACTCTAGAACGGTGGAAAAATGAATAAAATAATGTTATCGGACGGAAAGGGTTTGCGTGCTCACTTATTGATCCGTGAAATGGAGAAAAAAAAATAATGTGAGATCGTAAAAACATTGATAAAGGAGTTAATGTGCTCTGTGTTTTCATTTTGACAATTGGCATGGACGGGTTATTGTTATCGATCAGTGTTTATTGATGTCAACAAAACTCGAAAAAAAATCAAATTTAATCTCAGTCTATTTTTACAAATTAAACCAAAAATTCTATTCAAAAATCCGATTTTTCATTTAATCTGTTGAATTTTTGTTTAAATATTCCAGAAATCCTATTGGAACTTATTAGAATATTATTATTAACATTCGCTAATTGTTATAATATTCTTTAAATTGTTTTTAATTTTTTTTTTTTTGCGAAATGAAATCGCAATTGATTTAAAAAAAAACAATAGATCTCTGTGAGTTTCGGAAATTGAACGGAAATTTGAAAAAGTCCTCGGTTTTTCTATAGAATTTTTTTTATAAGTGGTTAATAAATGTTTCAATGTCCAAATGAAATTCCCAAAGCCATTGCGAATTTTAAATTGTGAGACTCACGATTTTTAGGGATTCTCGAGACGTGCCAGTACTACAGCGCCATTTTCTCTCCTGGATTTGATTATTTCGTTCTGGAGTGCCTGGGGCCTGGGATTCCCACAGTTTCCCTTTACAAAACTGGAAAACCCCAGCCGCATTTCATCAGTATTCTACAGAACAATACAGCCCTACGAGTGAGTGCTCAGATAAAAAAAGATGAATAAAAATCCTCATGTTATTTATTTTCAACCCTTTCAGGAGAGAATTTCAAAAATCGCCCTACCGCAGATAAAAACATTTCCGGTGCACATTAGCGGTGGTTACAATGCTCAAGTGAGACTGTATTTGCCACCGGGACTGCGAGAGGATGAGATCACGAAGTATCCGATGGTAGTCCAAGTGTAAGAACTGAGAACTAGAAGAAAAATGTGAGCGAAGTGAGCGAATGCTCACGACTTCGCTCACTTCGCCCCACATCCTATTTAACCGGTAAAAAAAAATCCTTTGATGATTATTCCACAGATATGGAGGACCAGGAACGCAATTGGTAACGGACATGTTCAAAATCGACTGGAACACGTACCTTGCGAGCCGGAAGAACGTGATTGTCGCGCAAATCGATGGACGGGGAAGCGGAGGTCAGGGATACAAATTGCTTCATGAGGTTTATTACAGATTGGGAACTGTAGAAGTGGCTGATCAGCTCGAAGTAACAGAATATCTGAGAGATTCACTCCATTTCGTGGATAAGAGACGAGTCGCTGTGTGGGGATGGAGCTACGGTGGATTTGTCGCTGCTCTGGCATTGGCTGAGCCTGAGCAGGACGTGTTTCAGTGTGGAATCAGTGTTGCACCTATTGTCTCCTGGAAACTCTATGGTATGACGATGAATTTCGCTCATTTCGCTCTGCCTCAATTTTTTTATAACAAAGAAAAATCATTTTTTAGATTCTGCGTATGCAGAGAGGTACATGGGCCTGCCCAATGTCACCTCAAACTACAAAGGATACCTCGAGTCCGATGTTTACAGTAAAATCGAGTACTTGAGACACAAGATGTTTTATCTTGTTCAGGGAACAGCTGATAATAACGTGCAATTCCAGCAGTCGATGGCACTGGCACGTCATCTCACTAAAAAAGGAATTCTCTTCAGACAACAGGTGAGATTCCGTCGGGTGGAGGATTAGGATTTTTTTTTGGGGATTTTTCGTTGACGAGAAAAATGTGAAATGATTAATTTCAGGTGTATCCGGACGTCAGTCACAGTCTTGCCGGTGTCACTGGCCATTTGTATCTCTCAATGGCACAATTTCTTGACGATTGTTTCACGAAACAAGTACCTGTTGATTCAAAGGTCGGGCTGAGCAGCGGTGGCGCTGAAATCTAGACAGTCGAACCTATTTTATTTAAATCGTGAATGAATTTTATCTAGAAACATAGCATCTCATTTGGGTGATTACAGAATCATAATTAGATTTTAAATCTGACACGGGGAAGAGAATTGTGACGGTGTGAGAATAAATTTTATTGAATAACACAACGAATTCGGTGGACGGTTGAATCGTCGGGGGAATTCGTCGGGTATTTCGTGAATATTTACGACACGCGCTAGAAGGCACTCAAGTCGAGATAATTGTGAATAATACAATCTAAACATCTCCAAATTGTGTTCCGTTCAATAGAGTATATTTACAGAGAAGTGAAAGGGGAATCGTATCACCTTTTTTAATTAAATTCACAATCTCGTAGAGTAATCTTCTTTCTCCATTAGATCTGATTCAGTAGATTAAATTCAAGACATCGTCAGTAATATTGTATTGTATTTGAAATATGTTTTACATTTTATCGATTATTGTAATGATCTACAGCCCCAGGAGTCTCGCTAATCGATAACGGGCACATGTTTTATGGATAATCGTGTACATACGGCTGATGATTGATGGTTGATGATTTTATTTTTTCAAACAATGATGAGCGATACTCGGTGGGGCTTGACTAACGATAAAACAATGTCTTCTAAAAATCGCCAACGGACAACATAAAATATCGTGAGAACTGAAAACACTCAATAATTGTAATAATTGGAGTAATCAAAAGGATGATGTGTTGATAACTATTGATTCATTATAATTCACGTCTTTTAAATATTCTAAGGGAGTAATGTGACATTAAAGTAATTATATCTAGAACAACCTGATAATCTGGCACATGAATTCATTGATGTGTGGGCTGAGGGCTATAGATCTGACTTTATGAATTTCTTGTTGGAGCATCTGCCGAGGTGTAGCAGCATGTGATTCTTCAGATTCGTTGGCTTGCTGAAGCCGCGACTGCAGATGTGACATCTGAATGGCCACAGACCGTTGTGCACGTACATGTGACTTTTTAAATCACCAGGGGTTGGAAATGACTTCGAGCATTGCGAACACTTGTGAGGTTTTTCCTAAAGCATTCAATCCTCGATTAAAATTACCTCCTACATTATTTATTCTCTTCTCTCTTCTCTCCCTCTTCCTAATTCCACACCTCTCTTTTTCGCCTACTCGCCTCATTAAAGAAATAACAATTAACTCACGATTACAAAACTCTAAGAATTTCCCTGAAATTCTGTTTATCCTCCCCTCAATAAATTCCTCAAACCAAATCAATACCTCACCCAAAAAAAAACCCCAGGTAATGATTTTCGTTCTGGTCGATGGGGTAAAAAAAAAAGAACCCGGCGCAGTAAAAACGTCATCGATTAAACGCGAGTCTGTTAATTCGTTTAAATTTATCGGGCGTTAAAATGACTTTGTGCCTTATATACACCGATGCCTCGTTTCAAGTAGCAAAACGTTAAACCGGTGTCGACAAAGAGAGACCACAGAAAGATGAAAAGAGGGGAAAAAAAAATGTGGCCGCAGAATAAGGAGAGCAATCCGAGACTCGATCACCAGAGTGGGACCGATGATACCTGGGGCAGAATGAAAAAGGGGAAGAGGAACAGAGGATGGGGGGATTTAACACACGCGCGAGGCACGCACAAGTTAAACCCGATGTTAGTTGTGTATAGGTTGAAAAAGGGAATCGGTTTGAAACAGCCCGAGGATACATATAGGCTCTCTGTCTCTCTAATTGGATTGCATTCCAAGCGGTAGCAAGTAATGGGCCAATTACAGTAGCTGATGGCAGCGCCATGCCTATATGGTACCCATACCCAATACCCTCTTTTGCCCCCTTCCTCGTTACTCAAAAACCTACCAGATATCATTACGAGGAGGGATTAGAGAAACTCGGGATGGACGCTAGGTTTCCGTTCTGATTAATACCAGTTGAGGGAATTATTAAACTCGAGTATAAATAGATACAAAGAAATCTGCAAAATATTGGCTATTATTTTTTGTTATTATCGAGGATAACATTTTTCTAGTTTTTTTAAATATTTCTCAATCTTTTTTCATGCTCTCGAGAGCACGTGGGGTTAGGATGACAACAAAATGGCTGACACCTCTTTGTACATGAGCCATAAAATATTATTCCCACATTTATTTGAATTCATTTTAAATGAAACCGTTTATTTTTTAATTGACTAATTTAATTATGCGGTGAAATTTAATTCTGGGGTTTAATGGATTTTAGGATGATTAGATTAAATTCAAAGTAATGGTTGAGTTTGATTTCTCGTTTGACGAGTGAAGCGAATAATTCCGAAACAGAATGATTGTAATAAATTGTTTTCTCGTCTCACCTTTATATGCGTCATTCGATGATAATAAAGATTTGAGGAAGCCGTGAATTTTTTGCCGCACACGAGACACTGATGCGGCTTTTCCCCGCTGTGTATACGTTTATGAGTGTTGAGGGAACTCGAGGTGGAGAAGCCCTTGTTGCAGACCATACAAACGTGCGGTTTTTCCCCTGAAGTTGTTTAGCAAAACAAAAAAAAAAATGAACCGCCAACAATTTTTGCAGTTCACGTTACAATTGAGTTATTTAAAAGGAAAAAAAAGTGCTATTTTTCCAATTACCTGTATGAGTCCTCATGTGACGCTTGAGTAACGAGGGCCGATCGAATGACTTGCCACAGACTTCGCAGGGAAGGAGTACTCGTTCACCTCGTTTAATTGTTGTTAATATACTGCAGTCTAAATGATCGCTGACTAGGGACAGGGTTGAGGATGATGACTCCTCGGATGTTGATTCGTATTCGTCAACCTCGTAGTACGTCGGTGATAACGATGACTGGTGTGATAGCAGAGTTTTTGACAGGTCCAGCGGTGACTCTGAAATTTTTTTTTTCATTTAAAAAAAAGGCTGATTAATGATTAATAAAAATTCATAAATTATTGAATTTATCGTTTACCAATCCATACCAATAATTATTCACTGGTTTTTAAAACCTCGGGATGTGATTTGGAATAAATAATGTAGGGCAATTGATTGGATTGAATAATTAATTCAGTCAGTTTATCGTCGATATGAATTAATTCGCGTCAATTAACAAGACACAATTCAATTGGGCGTGTTATTTTTTCTCGTTGACCGGTGATTCAAAGTGACGGGATTGCGCTCATTGGCTTATAAGGAGAGTTCGATAAGAATTGTTGTCGATAGGTTTATTCTTCGTCGGGTTCCTTTGCCGTACGCCGGCAATCGCAATCGTCCAGTCGAGAGTATGAGAATTCAAAAAATAAAAGAGATACTGGAGGTAAAGTCAAAGAAGATGGGGAAGAACAGGGATAAAAAGGTAAAACTGCCTACAAATCTGAAATGCAAATACTCGGTCGAGCGGCTATTCTTTTTCTCGTCGGTTCTTACAGATTACAAGTCCTTGCCGCTTGTGATTCAAATTGTGGAGAAGGGTTGGACGATTTAAAGGACAGTACAATGGATCGCTCTCGCTCGCTGAAAGTCCAGGGATTTTTCAGGGACGCCAAAAATTTGGCAATGTCTAGCCCGCGATGTTCCAGGATTTTTCACTTTCGCAATTTCTCTCAAAAATCATTTCTCAAAATTAATTCCAGAGAATTAATTATCCCTCAATAAAAAATTCACCTGAAAATCAGACTGACAACAATTTTCTTGATAATAATAATATAATAAAATAATAATATATTTATATTTATATGTTTATTATTTTTTTATCATAGAATTGTTGGATTTTTTTTTAATTTTCGGTTTTTGGTATTTTTTGGGGGATTTTTATGGAATTTGGAATGGCCGGACATGGGAGAGCTTTTGGAGATGGAATATCGAGAGGATGGAGAGTGAGGTGGAATCGTTTTGAGATAGTCGTATCGTGGAATTAGCATATGACTGGGGATAGCAGGTACTCACCAGCGAGAATTGAGTCGATGGTGCACCTGTAGATTGCTGAACGTGAACAGACGTCACGCGATATGAAGACAAGATCCTCGTGGGATGCTGGGAGAAACCAGGCGACGAGCTCCGAGTCCGGCTGGACATCCTTGATTACCTCGAATATCGGCTCACCTGCAGGGAGAAAAATTCATATTGAAACTTATCCCGACGGTCAGGAGTCGTAAAGTCGTTGAGAATTTTTTCACTCCGTGGAATTTAAATTTTTTATTAATTCACGGCTTTTATAACAACATTATTATAACAACAGCGATTTTTAGGAGACGATTTGTTTGGGGTTTGATTTTGAATTTTTACCTTTGACTTTGGTACCGATCAGGTTCACGTGGTCGCTGTATCCCTGGACTATTCTCAGGAATCTGATCCAATTGCACTTGCGATGGTTTAAGTTGTAGTTTGAAAAGGAAACCTCGTCGTAGCAGCCGTACTCCCGTCTGATCTAAAATCAGAAGACAAAAAATGACTTTCACAAATGTGTATTCTAATCGAAATCATTAAATTTAAATTCAACCACTGATTCGAGTGCCAGATAAATTAATAAACATTTCATAAACAAAAATCCTATTTACCCACAAAATGAATATTATTCTGATAATTTTACTCACATCGTTATCATCGAGGAGTGAGTACAGATCGATCTTATCGAACCTGATGGATCCCTGGAAGGGATAGATAAGAGTACCAGAGGGTATGAATACATTGGACCAGACGGATATCCTGACATCAGCAACATTGCCATCATTTTTGAAGAGGTCCCTCTTGCAGTCACTGGCAAGTGCGAGTGAGAATTCCCTAGGTATCAGCACACAGGTCTCCATCCTCGACTCCTCCACGTCTCAATCACCATCGATTTTCACCAACGGCGAGTAAATAATCGATGTGATATTCTTTCAAGAAATGATAAAAGATATCCACCGCAGGAGATGGTGCAAGGTGCAAGGCCCTTGGCTGACTGGGTATGGGATTAACCGACTGATCTTGACCTTGCGACGGTTTTATAGCAAGCAAGCATTTGCTACCGAATGGGTAGCTAAAGCTGCCCCTCCCCAGAGCAGAAACTCCTCCCAACGAAAACCCACACGCATCCCCACTCTGTTGCATCTGAGGAAGGCACAAGGAAGCTGTTTTTCCAGGGGGGTATATTTTTTTTTTATCCTTTTTCAAAACTCATTTTTCATCCCCCATTCCTGGCTGAATCCCAAGGTGCCCACGTGGGCGACTCACAGGCACCTGTCGAGTCATTCCATCTCCCTTCCACCTCATGCCAATTTCCATGGAACCTGTCTGAGGAACACGTTTTATTTCTCTCATCCTCTACCTCTGCCTCTCATCCTCTTTATTTTTCGTACCAAAACCATCGCCTGCCAACCTGCCTTACAGCAACTGCATACGAGACCAGATTGCACAGTCCAATCTTTTATTTCACTGGATTTTCCATATTTTCATCGTTTCAGTGGTTAGTCGGACCTCTGGAGATGCTGGAGATGGACATTTACAAGCGGAGACACTCGGGATTTAATCATCGACTCGAGTTTTGTTTGATTTCTGGAGTTTCTTTTTTTTTCACCATCTTTGTGACTACCACTTCGGGATTTTTAACGCTCCAGGTGGGGGGGCACCTTCTTGATCTGTCTATGGGTTGGATTATGCAGGTGCTAATGACGCTTTGACGTCGGCCTCAGGGTCGTGGGAGGAGAAAATAGAAAAGTCCACGTACGAGGAGATTATTTTATTGAGAGGAAAACGAGTTGAGTGAGATTTCTTGTAATTAGCGATTTATCTCGAAATCCATCGATTTCAGAGGGAAACTGTCGGAGACTTTTTTTTGGATAATTTAATTTCCGAGGAAAAAGGTGTCTTGATATTTTCTCGTAAAATCAACCTGTTCCGTCAAATATTCAAGTAAAAAACACGATGTTTAGATTGAATAAATTTTTCATCCGTTGCCGTTCAATTAAATTAATGAAATGTTTTTTAATTACTCATTTATTAATTACTCGTCCGTTCATTCGTCCTGAGAAGACGGAAGTAATTTCTCCCGGTCTCTTTCCCGCTTTGTCTTCCTGATCGATAGATTCTGGAAGCGATCGAAGACTTTCTTCCTGGTGGGAGTCTTCTCCGTCCTGATGTTCAGCCTCCTCTGGCTCTCAGTCGCCGAAGACATCGCCCCTTCCAGACTCCTCTGGAACCTGCAAATTATTTATTTTTTAATTGCACAAAAAGACAGAACAATAAATTAATGAATGGATCAATGAATTTTAATCGATGCACCTCAGATAGACGATCGTCCCGGAGATGATGGAGGCGGTGAGTAAAAAAAAAATGACAAAAGCACTAGCTGCGACAAATTGCTCACTGGGCATCCACCCAAATATGGGTCTAGTGAGTCTATCCTCCATCAGATGTGTCCTCCAATTCGGCGGTCCAATGACATTAACAAAAATAGAATTTGTCGTCCAGGTGAATCCCAGGTCGTCCTGTCTAACAACACACCTCCAGAGACCCCTGTGTGTCTTATTAACCGCTGGAATTTGATCGACATTAACGGAAATCGGATGGGTAATTCCGTAATCCTTCCACATCCTGTTGTTGATGCTCCAGGTGATCCTCAGGTCGTTGTACTGGTACCCGATGACAACGCAACGACAGACAACCGTCATGGGAAGGGTCTCCCTGAGGGTGAGGATTGTCCTCACTGGAAGTACACCGAGGCTCACCAGTTTTAAAATCATATGAGTTCCGTCTAGTCGGTGGAGGGTAATGGTGTAGACGCCCGAGTCATTCACCTCACTTCGTTTTATTACTTGGAAAATAGATATCGGTGGAATTAATTAAGTCATCCTCAGACATCTCCACTCGGTTTTATGAAGCACTTGGGTGAATGGATATTTTTCATCTCATTTATCTCCTAATTCTCATAATCATTATTTACTACTGATTGCAACAATAATAAAAATATTAATAATTGCACTATCATTCTCTCAATTCATTAATTAAATAAATATTTAATATAATAACCAATGGATAACTTTTTCCTCGAATTATTAATTGAGGAATGAAAGAAAAAATTTATTTCTCCATTAATCATTATTAATTAATTAAATAATTAATACCAATATCGTGATCGATTATTTGCACTCTCCGCTCATCGGGATGAATGAATATGCCATTGTGGGACCAATTGATTTCGGAATCAGGGGATTCCCGTGTGATTGCGTCGATAACGTCGGAGTCTGCGGTGATGACGATCCCCTGGCCCTCATTTATCACCAATGACGTGTGATTTCTACGGGCCCGACGTTTTATCATCGTTACTGTATCCTCGGTTATGTCCCCGCACAATATAGTATTGCATGTTCCTGTCATTGCGCTGGGGCCCATGCACGGCTCACCCTTGACGTTTGGCTCAGGATTATTGCAGTGACGTTTCCTGGTGCCGACGCCACCGTTGCAACTTGCACTGCACGCCCACGGACTCCATTCTGACCAGCCACCGTCTATCGGGTCCCCGTCGATGTCTGAAATTTTTACGGCTCATCATATCAATAAATCATTAAACTGCCGATTAAATTGAATTTTTTTTTATCAATATAAAAAAAAAGTCAAAAATTGAATTATCAATATTAAATCATAATTAAATATATATTTTTTAATAAATGTATATATTTATTTTTTAATTTCTTCATTTTTATAAAAAAAAATTATTCAGGAATTGCAAAAAATTTCAATAAATCATTAAGTTGTCGATTAAATTGAATGATTAATTAAATCGACTGAATTCATTGAATCATTAACAATAAGATTGATATTATTATGTAATTGTTTTATTTTGATGTTAAAAAAAATTCAAGGATTGATTCGTTTGGTGCGAATTTTTTCTTTGAATTTTATTGATTTGAAAATTCGCGGAAAATCGTGTGGATAAAATGGCAATTGATGAAATAATCGTGTGAGACTCTAACTAATGCAATTACCAAGTATCTAAATACCGTTGGAAAGTGCGTATCTCTCCTATTCTTACCTGGGGGCAAGCAATTAGCTGTCCACGTCGCCCATCCACCTTTATCAACTCCCAATGAAAAGAAATAAAATAAGAGTGGATGTACGTGGACGTAATTAAATGTCAGGGTTTCATTCCAGTACACGTCGATGCTCGAGTTGTACCAGCTGCGGGAAATTCATAGGTGCAGTTAATTATCCGGTAATTGGATTAATCGATAAATCGAGAAATTACATTATTGTGATGTTTGTCCAAGTTGTTTTGTCAAATAGAGGAGACATCGCCTTCTGCTTGTGGTATATCTGGACATTCGGGTACGAATTCTTCATGAAATATATCCAATTGTTCATCTCGCCGAGGGTCAATGCGTAATAACTTTATTTAAACAAAATATAGATTTTTTACTATTTATTTTGCAACAAACAGCCAAAAAGTCGCAGTCCACTGGCTCTACCCAGTTTTCGAGAAAAATCTCAGAAAATAATGGAGATAGGAATATTCTTATCGGAACCTTTTTTGGAGAACAAGATGAGAACTACAAAAAAAGTTATGACGAAAATTCCGCTATCTATGATAGATTTAGAGATATTCATCGAGAGCTAATCGATTTTCTGAGTTCCACCGGTTCACTCGATTTGTTTGATAATTATTAGTTAATAAGCAGAATTAATTGTAAAAAATACCCTGGAGTGGCCGGAAACAGCAATAACGGAACGAGGATTACCCCCATCGCCCTGATCATCAGCTCGATCCTCTGGGTCTTCGATTTTATCGGGATTATCCTCGTAAATCTCTCGGTCTCTGTATTTTCCACGAGGCACCCTAATAGCAATCCAAGAAAGAGAATTGTTTAAAAAATCACAATTAATTGCATTATCTGTAATAAAACCCGAGACTTCACATCAAATTCGCAGAATTATTCGAGAAAGTCCTCAATTTTTTAAATCCAATATTTTTCCGGACACTCACGAGACAGACAATCGAAAGAGACTCCTATGGTGTTCCCCAATTCACTGGCAAACGAATAATAGACCGGAAGAAATGCTTTCGCCGGCTCAGGATCCTCCCACTCGAAGAGAGCATTCGGGGACTCCTCGTAGAAGACCTGAATTTTTCCCCGAGGTATTTTTATAACAAAACTGCTCCATTTTCCTAAATACAACAAATGAGGGAGCGTCTTCTTCTTCAGCAGCTCAACACCTAGTTGGATTAATCACAAAAAAAAAATTGAATTAAAAGAAAAAACAATAATTTGCGATAAATTTCAATCGATTGAATGAATTTCAGGTACTTTTTTCCCCCAGCTGTCGATAAAGCAAAACCTTCTCGTTATTCATGGCCCCGACCTTGAGGATGTACCTCGCCCTGATCCCATCTTCAGCGCTGAATGTAAAAGTTATGGAATCCGGATTGTCTGGCTCCCATGCCTTCAGGGCGAAGCGCAGGCCCTCGGAGCGATGTTCAGGAAAAATATAGAACTTGCGTTTTGACTCCTGTCCCTTCACGAGTGAAATGCAATCGTCGGATTTATCGCAATCGGGTACGTCGCAGAGATCCTGGGGAACATCTGGATCAGTGGTGTAGCACCAGGCACCGGCGATATTTCGGGAGGGATCACGACAGTAATTGCTGGCATTTCTGGCATTTTGCTCGGGGAAGAGGGTTTCATTGAAATGTTCACGAGGGATTCCGTCATTTGGACGTCTCGCGTACTCATTTTTACTACTGGGCGTCGTGAATGATTTTGTTGTTGGTTTTATTGTTGTTTCTGTTGGTGATTCTGTTGTTGTTGAAGTCAAGGGAGCTTTTGTTGTCGTTTTTGTCGTTTGCTTTAGTGTCGTAGAGGTTGGAGAGATCTTTGTTGTTGTTTCTGTTGTTCTTTCTGCTGTCGTCTCTTGGAGAGTTGTCTTTTGAGTTGAAGGAATTGTCCTCTCTGTTGTTGAAGATGATTTTTCCGGGAGATCATTAAGAAATTGCGGCATTGTTATCAACACATCATTATCTTCATAGTCTTCCTCAAGATTTTTACTTCGTCCTGTGGTTGTTTCTTTTATAGTCGTCCTCTGAGTTGAAGGAATTGTCTTCTCTGTTGTTGAAGAT